TCATTAAGGGCTTTTGAAATATCTCTCTGCTAGAGGTATGGTGCCCTTTATAAGCCATAGAGGGCTTATTTTAACTAGTAAACATAACTATATTTAGAGAATCCTTTAGCCATGTAGGTATAGACCTCCTCATCTAGCTCACTGTTAATGAATGTGTTAATGGCATTAATTTACTATATATTAAGATTAAACACTGCTGTAATAGCTATTAATGTTTAAAATATTCATGTAGCAAGAGTAGCAGCTATAGTATCATCATATATTATCTGCTGCATGTCTCCTTGTACATAAATCCATGCCTTAGCCTTGATTAAATAGCCTTCTTAATTAAATTTATATGTGAAAACCCATCATAGTGGAATGATCTACTTATCTCTAGGCTGTTTAACCTTCTGAAAAGTTCCTCAAGCTAATAATATATTATGTTCTAACTCTGCAGCTGCTTTAAAGAGTTCCTTTAGTAGATGCTTTTGCATTTCCTTCCAGCCATTAGGTACAGGCGGTATTTCATCTTGATAAAGTCATTTCTTTATAGATACCTTATCTTGCAGGCCTATTCCAAATGATGCAAATACTAAGTGGAATTACTTTAAGCCATCTATCTAAGCACCAGCATAGGCATTTTATGGAGCTCAACACTGTCATTTTCCTTTAATGATGTTATCCACTAAAAAGTTAGCACTAACACTGTGCTTTAGCTTTATTAGGAAATTATTAATGTCGTCTGGAGCAGCTGGATTAATACTTAATTAATTCACCTCCTTATAGAGCTGTTTTAAAGGTGAATCTTCTAGCTCTAATTAATCTGGGGATTCAGGCAGAATATCTATAAGCCTCACAGGCGTGTTAGGCTCTGGGGAATCATTGATTCTAGTAGGAGATCTCAGAGTCATCAAATTAAGGCAAATATGCTATTCTCTTTGTAGGCTATCAATCCAGCCTCCAGGAATGCCATATTAGCCTATATCTGCATGCTGTAGATATGGTGTAAGATCTCTATGTTTGATAGATTTAATAGGTGCATCATGTTGGATAGATCTTCCTGGTGTAGCAAGGGGAGTTAGAGGTATAATATTTACTTCTAGTAATTCTGCTATCTAACCGCCTCCTATATCTGGTTTAGCGCCTTTACTTATTCCTTTACTTATTATATTAATTACTTTATTCACCCCCTAAGCTTTAACTTCATCTAACTCATCTTCATCACTTGATTCTTCCTCCTGCCTTATCTTAATATCTTCACTCGTTGCAATATTATTGATTTTAATTAGTTGCTCTAGCATATTTGATATCTTAACTGCTTCTATGTGGAATGGCCTGTCTAGATTAAATATAATATCTTTATTAAATATAATGTCTCTTTTATTAGTTATCTTCCCTATTAGTGGATTCCATATCTTCCATATATTAGACACAGTGTATCTAATAAGATAACCTATCTAGGCCTGTGGATCTAGCTTCTTTATTCTTAGAATCTTATATTGCCTGACATACATTCTGCATCTATATATATGCAGATTTGCTAAAGATGGCTTCTTGCCATAAAGCTTCTTATATGGCGTGATCTATATCTATTTCTTCTGTCCATTCTCCTCTACTGCCTCTCTGCGCGGCTGTTAATTATGCAGGTAGACAGCAGTATAAAGAATATGCGGCCATAGCTTCTTAGGCAATCTTACAGCTATTCTTATGCTTCAGGCCATTTTAATTATCAATCTTCTAGCGCGTTCAACTAGGCCCTTCTGCTCATCAATATATTATGTTAAATGGAGGATCTCAATACCTTCATCTTTTATAGTGCATATATATTCATTTCTAAGTGTTGGTTCATGGTCTGAGAACATCCTCTTTAGCTTGATATTAAATTGTGTCTTGATCCATTTGATAAACTGCCATATTTGGCCATTAAGCTGATCTTTATCTGGATGCGTGTAGATGACATGCCATCCAGTCAATTTGCAGATGAAATGCGTGGCCTAACAATCACCATTATAGGTAATAGTCATTGGAATCAAATTGAAATGAACGCTTTTAAATGGCTTGGTTGATCTCTCTCTAGGTGTTTAAGATATCTGCTTATAGGCCTTTACTAGCCTGCACATCTCGCAGATTGATCTCTTGCAATTCAATACTTTTGTACTAATAGATGCCTCTTCCAGATGCTGTACAGCTTCATCTCCCAAATATGCTAGCTATTTATGCCATTGTTTACTAGTTTTAGTGGATTCATATGGCCTCTCTAAATATTAATTTATTATAAAGATATTTAATATTAGATTATATTCCACCACTTCTAGGTTGCATCTTATTTCTGTACGGCAGATCGGCTTCCTATTCTAATCTTCTATGGTGTTAGTGTATTAATTAAGATAAAATCCATGCTTCTTCATATAAAAGGTTAAGAGCAGATTTATATGGCACTTAGGTATGTAAGCTACTCTACTTAGTTCTAAAATATGCAGCTTTCCATTTATTTCAATTGCTTTCAGTTCAACCCTTCTATATCCAAGGATTTGCACATTCATTGCACTGAAACACGCATACTTATCTTCCACTAGCTCATAGGTGAGGAATTAAGTTTGATTATTGCAGATATTAATATCTGCTCCTGAATCAATAATCTAACTATCTCACAGCTCATATGCATTGCTTCCTAGTGAGAATGCTGTGGAATCACTTTAAATAATACTTATTGCCATGTGAGATACTCCCTGCTTCTGATTTGCTCACTTAATTGCTTATTCCATAGCATATTGTACCTTTAGTTTTGTCTACTTAAGCCACTTAAATTATTCCATGATCTCTGCATTCAGCTTCCATCCATTCGGCCTCAACAATTCGATCAAATATGGGCACTTATTAAACATATGCTTTTCTCCACAGGGGCAGTCTTTGGGGCCTTATTTAGGCTGTTCATTTCCATGATTCTGATTAGCTAAATTAGAATGTTAATCAGAGGATTGTCCCTTGAAGGTGGCAAATGCGCTCTTCTATTCTCTTTAACTAAGGGATCGCCACTGTTTATGGAAATGGTAGATCTTATTAAATATATCTAATAACTTATCCTTTAATAGTTCATTTAATCTGATCTGGGTATACATTCAATCTAGGCCCCTCAGCACTGTAAGGAAGGACCTGGTTGCATCTTCCCTAGTGAAGCTTTTTAATCCAAGATGATTGCATTTGCTTAGCATATCTTCCCATTCGCCTAGCCATATCTCGACGTTCTGATTGGCTGGCTTTAATAGGAGTTAGTTATATCTTGCCATGACATGTGATATCTGATCTTCCTTCTTCAGCTCCAGCTTAGCCTTCAGCTTTAAATATCTTTTAATGGTGTAATCTGATTCATTAGTGAGCTGCCTGAGATGCTTCTGCGTGACTATTTACTCCATTTCTCACCAGATAGCCGCTAGGCCTATCTCTGCCTTCTCCCATTCCTTATATCTTCTCTTCCAGCTGCTGACCTGACACTCATATGATTAGTTTGCTTGCGTATTCTCCGAATCATCAGGGTGAATCAGCTTTGATGGGCGTGGTGTTTCTCTAAGCAAGATCTCTTTCACTCTATAGCTCATTGCTAAGCCTTTTATATGGGTGTTCCACTGCCACTAATCATCAGGCGAATCTAGCATGATGGGGACCTTCCTGGTGGACCTTATTAGCTCAGCATAGTACTCCATGTTGGCTTCAATGGGTGACGGCGGTGTTGATATAACTTTAATTCTTCCGAATCAGGCAATTCCAATGAGATATCTCGCCAATACCATGAGATAGAGCTCTCTAATATGCAGGCCTGGAAGAATGATCCAAACAAATCAATCTGTGCGTCTCTTAAGGGCAAGCCGGGCTCATAACTGTTGAAGTCGCTAGGATACATAAACTTTCTAAATCACTAGTAAACTATATGGCCAATCGAAAATTAATGAAGGTCTGATTCTTCTAAACAAATGACTATCTATCTCCTATATATGCCTTCGATAGGGGTCGGATTGCAGGTCTTTTAAATGATCGAATGCTATCGAATATTCGGCCAAGAGTGGCAGTGCTTTGCCAGTTCATATACTTCCAAATCGGGCAAGCGGTAACATAATTCAATACAAGCCTAGGTGCGTTCAAGCAGAGGGGATCTCAAGAGCAAATCTGTGGACTACTGCACCTCTACTCTGTACCATGAACGCCAAGCCTGCGTGTCCGACAAAATAACACTAGAGATAGTAATGAGAAGCATAAAAGCCTTGGCATCACTATGAATGAGAGCAGTTTACACCAGATGCCAAGACGCCGTTAACCAAAAGCATCCAGTTGGTGGTGCTGCCGAGCCCCAGCAGTGTCATGGTCTGAGTCACCAGAAACTGCATTTTTAGAGAGATGGTCTGGATAAATCTGGGTAGTGTCATATTAATCTAAGTGTTGGTGGTGGATTGCCAAGGGAGGGGACAGCTCATCTACCAGGTCAACACCATGGAAATCATTAATTTGAAATTATCCGCAAGTCCGCTGCGCTTCTTTAAATAGACTAGTACTCCAGAGCGCAAGTTCAAGCCACATAAGATAAACAACATTATAATAGCAAGCAGGAATTTAAGAAGACAAGTCAATACACAGGCCCTACACGCATTACATAATGTTCTTCTGAGACGGTTACATCAATCTAAGACGCAGATTGACCAGGTAATCACTGGGTAATCACTAATCAGCCTATTTAACTTCCAAAATGCGCAGTGCAAGATTAGCAGTAATAGATGAAGAGGACTCAAACAGCAGCTTCAGCACTGCCTAACACATCTTCTATACCAGCAGCATTTGATGATGACCACACTATTTATTGCTGTTATTTTAAAGTGAAAGTGCCAATCCACAAAGAGTTGATCTCTCTGATGCGGGGAAGCTTGGCGGGGAAGCACTGCAGTGCTCTAATATATGTATTGCCCGTACCCCAGTTTATATAGAGACAACCCCCTTCCCCCTCTTCTTCAGTGTAGATAGACTCATCCAGACTCACTTCTATAGACCACACCATTTCTAGAGGCCCTCAATATATCTCAGCATACAGTAGATCCGAGACCATCTTCAACATGCGGCCAGTGGGCCTTGGATGTCATTACAAAGTAAGCTGGATACAACCTCAGGAATCATATAGCTGTTCCTGACAACCACAGAATTCAAGGACTAACAGAGCTCTCTGACCTTACCATCATTTGCAATGGGACCAGATTTCCAGTGCATAAAGCAGTTGTCTGCTCACAGTCACCAGTGCTACATGCTGCCTGTAGCAGGGATTTCAAGGCAAGTAATATGACCCAAGTAAACTTATAAACTTTCTAAATCATAGCAGGAGTCACAGTCAGGAATGTACAAGATGAGTGATGGCTCGACGCATATCATTGACAAACTTTTGCAATATTTCTACACCGGAGACTATACTAGGCTATCCGAAGAGGACGACAGCGCATACTCACATATGTCTGCACTTCAACTTCACGCAAGGCTCTTTGCAATGGCTGATAAGTACAATATGAAAGACTTATGTGCCCTTTCAGCAGAGAAATACTCCTCTAGGCTTGAAAAAGACTTCAACATCATTGAATTTTTAGAGTCCAGCCCAGATGTCTATCATTTAACGGCGCCACAAGTTCAAACATTGAGGAATCTTGTTTTACACTTCGCCCGAAAGAACCTCGAAAATGCTCTGCATCACAGCTTGCATTCCAAGATCTATGATGATATTACGTGCGAAGTTCCAACATTTACAAAGGACTTGCTCAACTCATATATTGCGTCCCCGATTGGCCAACTGTCAGAACTGTGGGCCAACAATGGCCATGCAGGCGTTGCAAGTTCGATGCCAGCAGTGCAGCCGAGAAAGGGCGTACTGAGAATGCCTAGAAAATTAAGTCTAATTTAGTTATTAAGTACACCAATATCGACGACTCTACTGTCAAAGCCGTCAAAAATCCCATCTCGCCAATCATCATAATCAATACAGAGCTTTGACAGTGATTTTAGAGATAAATGACTTGCAATTGCAAGGTTGCGAAACAGATCCGGCTCTAATGGATCATCAGGACTTGTGATACAGAGTACGTGGCAGCTGCAGCAATCCCGGGCCTCCTCGCTCTAGCATCGAACAACTGGGCCCCTGATCCGAAACAAGCCGTTGGGATGGCGATCCAGATTGGCGTTGGCTCTATGGGTGGCGCGGCCGCGTCGAACTTTATCCACGGCCTTAGGATTGCTGACTACAGTGTTGTACTACGTTATTTGCAAAAGGCTGAATGCGAGACGGGATGCAATGGGAGCGAGTGAGCATGGCTATAGTGAAGAGGAATTGTTAAGTATGGGTGACAAGGCGCCCACGTTCAGGTACAGGGTGTGAGGTGATGGAATGGCCAACGGAAGCCTTGGGAATAGAGAGGAGTGGTTGTGCATGTCGGCTAAGCAAGCCGCGGAGTTCATGAAATTGCTTGTGTCAGCTAGAGACGGGCAATGAAGATGCGTGATCAGGGAGTACCCCCAGGTCCTCACCATGAATTAATGCTGCACTGTTCAATGGTTCTATTACTCCGAGGATCTTTAGCTCTAGCGACTGTCATTATGATTCTATGATAAAATAAATCTTTGCCAATGGACCACGGCCACGGATCGGTTCGAGACCCGATCGTTGTATGTGATTCCTTATGATTGTTATTCCAGTGGACGGGTATTAAGTGTTTGCGATTTACTACCAACACAGCACTAAGGTGCAACACTCCCAAAACCCAGTCCAGAGCAGGCTTTACTCGGTCCCGCCTGCGGTGGTGAGTGGATCGGCTACCGGAGGTGTATTGTCGACCTGGATTCCTCCTCGCTTCGGGTAGCAGCTGTCGTGGAACGGCAGACACCATCCCCCCTCATGTTCAGGTGTCGCGATCCACGTCCGCAGGAGATACCGTTGTGGCTTCGGTGGCGGTGGATCCGTGAATCCAGTGCGCGAGTGGAATGTCTGGCAGCAAGAGACAAATTGGATATCGCCGATCTCACAGTCGTAGACAATTCCATGCCGCTTGCACGTCTCCTCCAGGACCTCCATCGCCTCCAGCTGCTCTGCGGATAGAGGAGGGATCAACCCTTTGTCGCTGAAGCGAGCCAAGGACTTGACAAAGTACGGATCCCACCTGTTCCGTAGAGTCCGACATGAGTACAATGCAGATTCCACGAGAGAGAAGGGGGGTAGCAGACATACTTGACATAGACACGCTCTTTGCCACCCGGCTCGACCATGAAGATAGGGTTCCTAAACCAGGGCTCCTGCCCGTCTGTCACCTCGCCCTTGCGGTCGACATACCAGATGGGCGAGGCCAACGTCTTTGCCACATCGGGCCTTTCTTTCACCAAGGAATTCCAGACTGTATGTGCGGACGCACAGCCAGAAGCACCGCCCGTCTCCCCGGGAGCGCAGAATAACAGCCCGACGATATCCGTTTCGTCAGTGTGATAGAACTGCCTGAGAAGTATGAGGGTAACGCTCAAGGAGCGGACTGGTGCAGAGGACTTACGGTGCGTTTGTGGCTGAGATCTTGATCTTATCAAGGTCGTTGTGATAGTCCGCTCCCTGGTTTGTTACATGGCCGAGAATCAGGCCAAGTTTATTCTGCGAGACGAGGTATCCCAAATGTACGGACAAGCCCATCGTCACCACTGCCGCCTTGTATCGCCCCCACTTGTCAATGGGTAGGCCGCGGAAAACAATGAACCCCCGTCCATTCAAGATATCGCTCCGAATCCCTGGCAAATTCTTTTCAATTGTGGGTAGCCGGAAGTTGTCCTTGAGCCGTGCCCAGGAATGTCAGCCATATGTCCCAAAGACCACAGGGGCTGTTCAAATCACCTTGCTGATACTGGTAAGCGGAACTCCCGAGGCTATGAATGTGTCGACGGCCTGCAGAAGCTCCGCAAGCTCCGGCTCCGTCCACCGGTGAATCCATTGCTCTGGATGTTGAATCATGTGTTCCCTTGTCCAGGCCGTCGGCCCGGTGATATTGCGAGGGAACTCCTCGAAAGGACGTAACTGGCTCTCGATGGGTGGATGTTGGCCGCTGGTACGGAGCCCATCGGGGAACAGCTTACGGTCCACGGGCACTACACGAGGCAGGCCGGCGGGGAGACCTTGCAGGGCAGGCGCGACATTCATTTCAACTAACATACTGAAAAGAGAAGGTACCCACAAGAGCTCTTGCTGCTCATGATCCTCGTTGAAGGATGTTTCTGAAGCATAAATAAATATACATCAGATGCTGCCGAGTGGTATACTTCCGAATGTGTCGAAACTCCGCGTACTCTGTGCAAAGAGGACAAGCCGCGCGGGGAAGACCCCTGACCTGTGCGTCATAGAGCTGGATCCGTCGAAAGCACTAAGACTGATGGCATGGCGTGGCCGCAGTACGGTATTGTCCGTATCTCTATGATCAGGGAACTCTGCCGATGCCTCGTCACCTTTCTCGCCATTCCATATTGGATGGGACGGACTCAAAATGCAACGTTTTTTTCCACAAAAAGGGAAACGAAGGCGCTCCGCCCTGGACAAGAGGCTACTTGGACGGCAGAGGCCGATTGCAGGCGCGGAAGTTGGCCGAGAGGATCGAAGATCATCAAAAGTCTTGAATTGCGACACGTGAGGTGCCGGCCAGGGATGATAATCCTTCAACAATACTGCCCAATCAATTAGCAGCAACCCAGACCGAGTCCACGCCCAGTGCAACCTTTGGGAGGGGAGCCCGGAATGTATCTACTAACGCCATTACTGTTGCAAACCGTCTCTGGCCGTCCATATAAGTGGGGGCGGGATCGGATCCGGTTCCTTGCGCCGTCGTCAAGGCCCGATTTGGCGGATGGCGTCGTCTAGAGATGCTGTCCATTCCCTCCCCGTTAATCTCCGCGGCCAGGGGCCTTCCAATTGGAGGGTTTGCCATGTGGGTCTTGATGGCGCAATGTGCTATCCAGCAGTGGAACCACAGCTAAAGCTTCAGAAGACAAAGAAAGATGGGATGCGACGGATGAGACTACCCTTTTGATTCGTGATAGACGACTCCAACAGGTGGAGAACCCACAGCAATACGATTATCGAGGATGTCAAGGAGGTTTCGCGTGCATAAGCGTTTACTCTGGCTGCACATCCACTTATAGCCATTATATCGCCGTTGACATGACTTGAAGTCTCCTAAAATACGATGGGAAAATATGACCAAGCACGAACATGAACCAGCTCAGGCTCGCGGGAGAGGTGACCAAGCTACCAACATTACCTCGGCCGCCGTTGTACTCCCGCCTCCTGATGGCGGATTTCATGCCTGGGCCCAGGTTGTCTCTGGTCATCTGGTTGTAGCTCTGACCTGGGGGTACGCTGCCAGTTTCGGGGTGTTTCAGAGCCACTATGAGTCTACCTTGCCTCAGAGTCCGTCCGACATCTCCTGGATCGGTGGTTTCCAGGTATTCTGTCTATTATTCATCTCAACACTCTCCGGTCGCGCAACAGATGCGGGGATGGCAAGGACAGTAGTGGCTGCTGGCGCAGTCCTGCTGGGTTTGGGCACCTTCATGACCAGTCTCGCGACAGAATACTGGCAGATCTTTCTGGCCCAGGGGCTCTGTATTGGCCTTGGGCAGGGCCTCATGTGGTTGCCCAGTGTGACGTTGATCTCGACGTATTTTATGCGCCTGCGTGTCTTTGCTGTGACGACTGCGGCCACGGGTACGAGTACAGGAGGCATCATTTTCCCAGCAATGATTCAGTACCTCATCCCAAAGATCGGTCAGTCGATAGTTGTGACCTCAACGTGCAATGCTGACACCTCGATCAGGATTTCCGTGGGCAGTGCGGTGCATGGGGTTTGTTGTCCTTGCCATGTCAGCAGCCACCCTCGCCCTTCTGCGTCCGAGATTGCCACCACGAAAGTCGGGACCGCTGGTCGAGTTGAGCGCGTTCAAAGAGCCTGCGTACATGCTTTTCACCTTTGGCGTTTTCCTCCTATACTGGACCCTGTATTTTGCTTTCTTCTACGTACAGTCCCCATCATGAGAGGTGCCGTATATCGAGAGCTAAGTATAGTTTAGATCCAGGTCTATGCGACAGAGGTGTTGGGGATCTCCGAAGAATCCGGTGCGACATTGATAATCATCATTAACGCCCTCGGTATTCCCGTCCGAGCCCCCTCGGATACTTGGCCGATCGCTACATTGGTCCGCTCAACTGCCTCATTCCTTGCGTGGCCCTTTGTGGCATTCTGATATTTGCCTGGGCCGCCGTGCATACCACGGTCGAGCTGTACGTCTTCGCGGTGTTCTATGGACTAGCATCGGCAGCAGCGATGGCCTTGTTTGTTGGGACAGTGCCCTCGTTGACGAAAGACCTTGATAAGATTGGCACGCGAGTTGGCATGGCCCTGACAATTATGAGCTTTGGCCCGTTGACTGGGCCCTCTGTGGCGGGGACATTGATAGCGCGCACCGGTGGGGAGTACCTGGCTGCGCAGATGTGGGCAGGAGCCGCGTTGATCGTGGCGGTCCTCGCTCTGGTCGGAGCACGACTGATCATTTCGGGACCACGTGTTCTGGCAAAGCTTTGAGGACGTGGATGAGAGTAATAGATCACTTAGCCAAAGAATAGATTGCCGTGCTGGTTTGATATCCAGACTGTCTACTGCGCGGAAGAGCGGCGATAAAACCAGAAGACAACTATGATTCTAACCAGCGCACAAAGGGTGTATTGTAGGCGAAGACATGGACCTACGCGTCTGTCTCTATTCCAAAATACCGAGCAACGTCCAAAAGACCTGAGCCCTCGATGCCGATCCAGTAATCAACAAATCCCTCTTCTTTAGCTTGGGCAACGCGTTCCGCATCCCAAGCTTCTTCCAAAGGTCGCTCGATATAAATTGTCTGGAACCCGCACTTTTTGGCGGCTTGCAAGTCGTGAAGATGGGCAGCGACAAGGCAACACTGCGAGGTCTCTAACCCGAACCTGCGCGCAGCGGCATGATAGACTTCTGGCGCTGGCTTGTAAGCATTGAAGTGCTCTGCACTGCTTATATGCTTGAAAGGCAAAGAACCGTGCTCCACTAAATCTTCGAGAAGTTTGACATTACCGTTGGACAACGTGGAAGTCGGAAACTTGGTGTTGAGCAGCGCAAGGCCTTGAACACTGTCCGCGTACGGATCGAGGCGATGCCAACAGAGGGTCAAGTGTTGGAGATCGTCGTCATTGAAAAGATCCCGCAGACGCCTGTCGGTGAAGATATTGCCCAGAGAGACGCGGTTGTGCTCGTCTACAGGGACAAAGGGCTTGGATGGATCAAAGGTGCGTCCGAAGTTCATATACGAGCGGTGCCACTCGTCTGTGATTTCATCCCATGTCGAGGGCGCTAGGTCGGAGACACGGCCTCGCACATCCACAGCAATCTCGCGAGCTTGGTCTTGCAGGGCGCTTTCTGCTGCAGCCTTCAGCTGGTTCGCAATGCAGAATCTCCATTCAACGACTGTGCCCAAGACGTCGAAAAATAGCATCAAGGGAGTGCCAGGTCGAGCCATCTTGACCAGGGTTTCTTCGAGATGGCACAGGATGAAAATTACCGTCGGATGTATCTCAGAATGTGCAGAGTATCTTCTCCCGTCGTTGGGGGGAACGCCATCGAAGGGGGATTTGGAGAAAGACAGACGACCGTCGTCCAGGTTAGGAGGAAAAGTACCCCTTCACCTGATCTCGGCACCCATTGGACTTGCATGTGGCTGGGAGGGGTCAATTGGCGTCATTCGGACATGCGGATTGACCTCTTTGTCTGCTGCGGGATCCCCCGATGTTACCAGCAGGTTACCGGAACAGGATCACCGCCAGCTCTGGGTTTAAAATCCTCGGTCAGGTTCCGCTTTCCTCGGCCAGCCCGTTCTCACCCGATCTCTCTGGAGAATGGATGCGCCATTTCTCAGTCTATTCAGGGCTCCATGCGATAAACTATGCCCTACTACATCTGTTTTGTAAGTCATCGCTGGTACCTTTCCACGTCTGGGAATGGCTGTTGGTTTGCTCCTTCTGTCGGCTCTACATAGCGCAAGACACCTCTAATTGATGCATGAAATAGTTGCACACCCGTAGCTCTATGCTTATCCACAACTCGTCGATTCGTTAGCCCAGATTCTGACGCCGCGGCGGGAGGCCAAACAAGCTCACTACGACAAGGCTTGGCTGTTCCCTCCGTCAGACGAATGAGGGAAACACTAGAGGGCTACATCGGTCGTGGAAGACTGCGTAGGGTAGCATGAGTTCGTGCGTCACCTCCCTTTATCTTCGCTATCTAACCGTGTCATGAATCACTGCTGAGCGAAACCTGCGCCAACTTGACATAATTCTCTGCCTCACTGAGGCCCTCTACTTGCCCTTTATTTGGCCGATTGCGATATCGAGACTTGATTACGTTGATTTGCCTTTGGAAATCCATTATCTGCAACGCCACAAGGCTGCCGAGCAGGTGTAGCTTCTCACGTCGGTTGACGCGATACGTGGCAACCGAAACATCAACCGGAATCGGACAGGGGACAGGCTCACTTCCCCGCTGCGAGGAGCCTGTATCGCTCAGACTACCCTGATGCATCGCCTTGCAACAGTTGGCCATCCTGCCGCAGATGACCCCGATTTGTCTAGCCGCCATGGCAAGCAGCATGTTCTGCTCTACTCGAGTCGCACATCTGTCGCATGAGATGAAAACGGCCAGAGTCTCGATCGAGTTGCGCAGGTCAGCGAGGAGCAGGTCAAGGCGGTCCTCGCGCGAAGAGCTTTTGGACGACAGCCGTTCGAGAAAGGAGACGGCATTTAACAGACAACAGTTGTCGGACTCTGTACGTGTCTCGCCCAAGGGTTCAACAGGCAGCGTTTCGGATATTGAGCCCATCGTCGCATGTACATCGGTAGTCGTCGTCCAAACAATATCGTCTTGACTCAGGTGAACACCTTGCCAACATTCGGCATCGCCTGTGCTGCTGCTATTCGACGGCCCGAGTAGCGACGCAAACGAGGGATCGGCCGTTGGAATTCCTGGGAGCTGGTCCTGCGCCGCCTCTGTAGCACTGCGCCTTCTTGCTGAAAAGGGAGGCCTCGTTACTGCCAGGTCAGCGGCAGCTATCGTCTATGTCAGCCAAGGATGCCTAGAGCAAACAGAAACCAAAGGGCTCACGGGTTTGAATGTCGCCACTGCTTGATCTGGATCTACCAGGTGAGCTTTGCTGCATGGAAGTATCCATGATCCATGGCATAAACAGCGACTCGTCGATACAGCCATCGTTGAACTTATTGCAGTCCAAATCATCCAATGATAGGTCTTGGCTGGATTTTTCCTGGTTGTCTGCTTCATCGAATACAGTCCGAATGGAGACGCTGTTGTTACGCCGAATGGCCTGGTCCGATGTAGTGCATTAGCGACTCCTGTAGTTAAGTACAGTACATCAAGCTGTTCGGTTACGTACTGCCCGCGAGCCTTTGTTGGTGTCCTGACGCTTGTTTCGCCCGTGACTCTCGGGATAAATACACTCCAATCCTATCGCCTCGCATCTCTGGCATCTCTTGCGGTCTCCCGAACAACGCACCTATAATTCTACTTTGTTAGGGCTCAATGACACGGCACACTGGAGAGGAAGACGATTATCAACCCGTGGTTGCGGGCACGGACCACGGAATAGGAACAGCCGTACCTTTCGCGATCGACAATGTATGCAAGCAACACGTATAGTGTCTTGGACGCTGCGGCTCACTGCAGCAACTGGATCTGGGTTCTCAATGAACTCCAGGGTCTCCCGGTCGAGGCCGGTCGAAACCAGCGTACCAAACATGGTTGGACTATGGCTCTCAGAGATGATTGCGGCTGCCGCAGATAAGGTGCAACGTCTCGGGCGGGCTGAAAGTAGTCTGGGGAGGGTAAGCATGAGGCCGGCCGGGGTGTTAAATGATACTTGCATGAGCAATGTATACATTTATAGATACGCGCTGGGGTACTTTTGATCGTCTAGTCAAGTAGCTGTATGCTGGATCTATAGCCCATATGGCGTATTCTGCACACCTTTCAGGTCTGAATCAGCCCCCGACGATATGGCGTCCAACGCGTGGCTAATCGCCTCCAATAATGGCCAATCGCTTACCATGTGTGAGATCCAAAGCTGTCATCACTGTGGGCTCTAGACTTTGAGAAGCTCTTGTTTTGCGACCCCGAATTTTTCCGACAACGCAGGACACAGTATGGGGGCCAAAAACAAGCAGTAGACAAGGATTACTTGAGACCATACGGGCAAGTGAGGTTGTACAGATTTATCACACTACCGCAGGACCCGCGCGGCTGGGCTTAGGCGTCGATGAGACACTGGACGCCTAATAATGGTGGATCTTGCAGCAGATGTAAGCCTGCAGACAAGCGCTGAGGTGAGGACCTGCGGATTCTACCCTGGGAGAGTCTAGAGTTGGTAGGGCCATGCGGCCGCTGTCGCTGATCTCGGCTCTGATTGCGCTGATTGGAGGCCAGAGACTGACCTGAACTGGAAAGCTGCAAAGCTGAAGAGTACACAGCTCCAGCTCCGTATAGCCGAGGTTTCCCACACTTCCCGAGAGTCGGCAGCCTTCGGGGCAGGCTCGTCACCCCCAGTTCCAGCCCAACTTCACATGCTTTCGCAGAGCTCGCATGTGACACGGCCAAGGCCAGGGCTGCGCGACTCGACGGGACGGTCCGTCGTCTAGTAAGCCCACAATGTCCGCTGTATCTGCTCTGACCGGTGGCCATTACTATTTGTAATGGCTAATTCGCTGATAGCGCCGAATAGAGAAGCTGCGTAAGCCTTCAAATCCCGTACTGACTCTTCCAAACGTGAACAACGGCGCCCGCCATTTGCGGAAAGGCAGCCCAGATGTGGATGATCTCCGCGCCCGTAGCTCCTGGTGGAGAGTCCAAGATCTCCTACCCAGAGTAACCAGAGTAAGGGAAGAGCAACGATTCTCAACATTCGTCACCTCTCTGGATTTCAGTCTTAGCTAATGTTTTACCTTTAGCTCAACCTCCAGCGCTGAAATTCCCACCAGAATCATGAGTCCACCAGTGAATTCCACCGACGAACCTGACAAGCGAGATGCCGATGAAAAATTAGCAGTCACTGGTCCGTCACCAACCGAGTCCGTCAGCATTGCCTACAATGGGTCCGATACACCAGAGGAAGAAGATGCCAGCGGTGGCGTCGGCAGGGAGATGAGCAACCTTCGCTGGTTTGTGGTATGCGTTGGACTATATCTAACTGCGTTTCTGTACGGACTCGACTCCACGATCGCTGCTGATGTGCAAGGGCCTATTCTGGCTTCCCTCGGGGAGCTTCGCCTCCTACCCTGGGTCGGAACGGGGTTTCTACTCGGCTCAGTGGCCACAGTCTCACTATTCGGCTCGCTATACACCAAGATAGAGGTCAAATGGCTATACCTGGGCAGCATCCTGACCTTCGAGGTGGGGAGTGCGATCTGCGGAGCAGCCCCGAATATGCAAGCCATGGTTGTTGGTCGCGTCGTTGCCGGAGTAGGTGGCTCAGGTGTCTATCTTGGGTAAGTAGAGTAATCGCACCGAGCAGGGAGCAAGCGCTGACAAGCGAGAAAGAGGTATCAGCTACATTTCCGTTTTTGTTTCCGCCGCCAGACGACCAATTTACACTGCTTTGATCAGCACGTACGTTACCCATACCGATTAGAGACAATGGACATTGACGAGCATACATACAGATTTTGGGGACTGGGGCCATCCTTGGGCCAGTCATCGGCGGAGCATTTGCACAGAGCCCAGCAACATGGCGTTGGTAAGTGTGCCTTCCGTAGTTGGCTTCCAAGATCTTTTCTTAATCTTGGACAGGGCCTTCTACATCAACCTCGTACTTGGAGGGGTGACTGCTCCAATTTATATCTTCTGTCTTCCACGCCACGGCACACACCGTCACGAAAAGATCCTTCCTCGTATTAGAAATCTCGACTGGCTTGGTGCAATACTCAATGCTGCGACTTACTCTCTCTTCATCATCTCGTGCACGTACAGTGGCTCAACGTGGCCCTGGAACTCCGGCTCAATCATCGCTCTCTGGGTGATGACAGGAGTAACCATCGTACTGTTTGCACTCCAGCAGTGGACGGCATTCCTCACAACAAAGGAAGATCGAATTTATCCCGTCTGGTGCCTCAAAAGCCGGTCCTTGATCCTATTGTACATTGGAACTGCCGGAAGCAGCGCAGTTTTGCAGTGTAACATCTACTACATTCCTCTCTTCTTCGAATTCACCAAGGGAGATGACGCTATCGCTGTTTCAGCCCGGCTGCTGCCATTTATTTTCCTCATGATCTTTAGTTCTTTATTCAGTGGAACCCTTCTGCCAAGATTCAATGTTTACGCAGTTTGGTACCTCTTCTCCGGCATAATAGCCTTGGCCGGGAGTATACTCCTGTTCGAGATCTCGACTGGAACACCACCCAGGAATATCTATGGATTCGAGATACTAACGGGAATCGGCTGCGGCCTGACATTCCAAGCCGCCTACGCCATTGCCATGAGCAAGTCGCTCCCTGAGAAGGCGACCTCCATTCTGGGTTTCATCAACGTCGCCCAACTTGGTGGAGGGGCCTTGGCGCTGGCGATAGCAGGAACAGTCTTCCAGAATGTTGGGTTCGACACCCTGCAGACCGCTCTCGGTGGTAGGGGGTATGCCGCTGGGGAGATTCGCGAGGCTCTTGGTGGTGGATATTCGGCCATTTTGAACGATGGAACTCCTGAAGTTCGTGCCATCGCATCCGAGGCGATTGGGACGACTATCGCAAATGTGTTTGGCATATCAATTGGGGGAAGTGCTGCGGTGCTTGGGGCAGGACTGTTAATGCGGTGGGAACGGGTGAAGTTGTCATAATCGCATACTTGTAACCGTCTCCACCTTGATAGAACATAGCAATATGGGTCGACACTTGCCTTGTTAGATTTCACCGCGATAAAGCTCAGCCGCGCGTCTGTTGAGAGTGGGCTTCATGCCTGGGCTTCGCCTTTTGCTTGTGGACACTTGTTGTTTCAGTATGGAAGCCCAGTCTGATCACGCCATATATATATATATAGATTGAGAGATAGAACGCCACTACAGGAAAGCATAATGGACAAAGTCTATTTATTTTTTTTTATTTAAAGCTAGCCAGGTGAAAGGGTCGAGTATCTCACTCTTCGCTTGCAGAGATCTTGACCAGCTGGCTGTGGGCAGCAATCTTGCCAGCTACATCAGCCAAGGGCATAGCACTCAAGATATCAAACACGGAGATGTCGCTTTTCATATCCTTCAGCGCACGATTGCGGACTTCCACAGCTTGTAGCGAGTCAACTATAGAAAAGGGTTAGCATGGTGTCTTCAGAGTTGTAGTACGCAACTGCATTTTACTCACCACCATAGTCATAGAGAGGCTTTTGAGCATCGATCTCGTCCACCGAAACACCCATGGCCGCAGCAACCAAGCTCTTAATGCTCTCCTCGACAGCTGCGACAGCCTGGGCCATGCTTGTCGCACTCGCCAAGAGTGAGCCCACGTCTTGCTTGTTGGAATTATCGCTGTTATCACTGCCAGAATTCGCGACGCGAAGCGCAAACTTCTTGTCCCTCGAGAAGCCATCGATGTTATGATTATGCTCGATGCAGTCTTCCAGACCGAGGACTATCTGAGCTGGTACGCTTTGTCCATTCGTTGTCGAGCCTCGCATGATGGCCCGCAGCACGACGCCGAGCTCGTCAAGATTCGTCTGCAGGCCTCGCCACCCGTGCTGGTATCGACCCAGGTACACAGCGAGGTCTCCAAACTCACCAGCGTTGGTAAAGTGCGCCGAGTCTGTGACCAAACCGACATCGACACTGGTAGCGTTGATACAGAGATGGTGGCGGGCGTGATGAGCCAACGCGTCCTCAAACGTGTTCCCCGCAGCGTAGTTGGCCTGTGCCGTGTTGCCAATAACGCCGGTTATGGATGAGAGAAGAATAAAGAAGGGTTTATCACCAGGCCAGAGGTTGGCAAGCAAGTTGCAGGAGCCTTTAGTCTTGGGCTCAATGGCACAGCGCCACTGATCAAACGACATGTTATCGAAGATGCCGTCGTCAAGAACCATGGCAAGCTGGATCACGCCCGCAACCCTGCCGCCACTGGCCTTGATGGCGGCGAAGGCTTTGGCAACACTGCGAGCATCGTTGACGTCGCACTTGAAAGCTTTCACCCGAACGGAGCGCTCCGTGAACCTGTCCAGATCGTGCTGATTCCTTGCACCACCTGAGCGGGATAGGAAGGCCAGGTTTCTGGCGCCGCATTCGACCATCCAGTTGGCAATGTGTAGGCCAAGAGCGCCCAAGCCGCCGGCCAGAACATAAGTTGCCTCACGGTCAAGTTTCAGTTGCTCAGCTGGGGGTGGCCGCAAGAGCAATGGGCTCGAATTGTTAAAGGACACGGCAGAGTGCCCGGGTGAAACGGTATCAACCGTACTACCGAGCTTGCTGACGGGCATAATTGTCAGCGGGGATGGCCCCTGCAGGCTGTAGTCTCTGAAAGCCTGTCGAAAGAGTCTCCCGACAGTGGCGGGCCTGCGCTGCATCACGGCGGCGATGTCGATGCGCGAAAAGGTAACGTTGGCTTTACTGCTTGGAAGGAGAGCCCGAAAGCCTTCACCGGTGAGGTCAACAAACTGGCCAAACTCACTCAGAGTCGACATCAAGCCAGGGACATGGGAATGGGTGCGGTGGCTGATAACGACATCAACCCCACGGCTTTCGGTAGTCGCCTGAATCAGCGGCACGAAGTTCTCCAAACCAGCGTCGAAGATGTGGTCTTTAGAGATGCCATATCGCCCAGAGAGGAGATCACGTTCTTCTCTGGTGTCAACCAGAGCAAAGATATCGGCGCCAATAGCGCTGGCAACCTGTGCCAGAGCCTGGCCGACAGCGCTCCCGGCGTCATCCAGCAGCAGTCCTTGCCCGCGACGGAGATGAGCGATCTCGAGGAGTGCATACTGCGCTGTAATAAGTGGCTCAACAAGGGTAACAGCGTCAGGTGGGGCGAGTCCGTTGGGCAGCGGTGCAACCAAGTCCTGATTTTGGCGGAGGTGCGTTTTCGCCGCAGCCTCGGAGAAGACAACAACGCGCTGGCCAAGCTGCAGAGCCCTTACTGAGTCGTGAAGGCGGGCAACAGTTCCGACAGCGTGGCGGACAGAGGTCAATGTCTGGCCCAAGCCGACACCGGAATACTCGACCTTGATCTCGACTTGACCTTCTTTAAGGGGTGATTGGGCCTCATCGTCGGCGATCCAGATGTATGCTTGATCTGATGCCAACTCGCTTGCTGCTAGCGGCTGCCGGGCAGCGCCAAGGGTTGACTCGATTGGCTTTGCGGTATTGTTTGCCAGCTGAAGCTCGTAATCGAAGCCCGCGTCCTCGGTGGCTCGAGGGATATAGACCAGGCCGTTGTACTCGGCGTATTCCATTTCTCCGTCGTCCGGCAGGGACGATCGCCACACATCGAGGACCAGGTCCGCGTATTGGGGGCTGGAAATGTCAGCGACTGCGGACAGATCGAGAACAGGCAGGACAGCAACGGGATATTCGTTGCGCATCACGCGGAACAGGCCCTGGGTCGTCGCAAATTCGACCCCGTTCGACCAGCTCTCCATCACACTGCCATGGGTAATCCAGAAAAGATGGCTCACGGTAGAGATGAGTTTCTTAAATGTGTGGAATTGATCCTCGTTCCAGGCGTACACAAGAGGACTGTCAGTTTCAAGCAGAGATATAACATGTTTGTGAGCGAGTAAAGTTATACTCTCCGGAGTAAAATTCGTCGCAGAAACCGAGTGACCGGCTTGGTCAAGCTTTGCCTGAAGCTCCGCCGCAAATTCCCTCTGCGCAACGGACGGCGTCTCGGGCAGGAGGATCACGACCGTGTCAGGCAACTCAACCGGAAGGGACTTTGGTCTTGAACTGCACAGGACGTAGATATCATCCTCTGCAACGCTGCCAACCCACGTCCTCTCTGACGGAATGGGGCCGACTTCACCTGGGTGACTGGCAGAAGTGAGGCATACCAGAGGAGCCAACTTTGCCAGCGTGGCAGCGTGTCGATCGAGGTCGGAAACACCCAGAGCGAGAACAACATCATTGGCTTCTGGGTCCAGCATCTCGACAGAGAGGCTCTCAGACAGCGTCTGATATGTAATGTCCAGCTTCTCAGTGCCTTCGCCCAGTGTGCTCTTCATCATCTGCGAGATGGACTCGGATGCGGCGACGGCAATGATCCTCTTTGGCCCATACCTCTGGCTGTTGAGGCGACGAAGCACATTGTGACTAGACTCAGATTCATCAAACAAGACAACAAGGACACCGGTGTTTGCCTCCTTCAAGAAAACGGAATCGAGCCAGCTGGTGACTAACCCAGCCGCGTTTCTGGAAGGACTGATCCTCGTGAGCTGCTCGCTGCTGGTGACAAAGGACAAATCAGGAATCCACGAGATGTCAGCGCATTTCCGCGTGGGACGACGGGAAGGAGCAGCATCGGAAGACTCCCCACCTGTGTCAGAGGTCACCTGGCGAAGGGCAAAGCCCTTGACAGTCAGCTTTGGTCGTGTCCAGTCCTCGTCGGAGACAACGAGGTCCGTGATGATCTCGTGGCCAGTCTGGGAGAGTAAGCGACCGTAGCCAGAGTAGAGTGCTCCAACCTCCTTAGGCTGATCATGGGCCACGAAAATCTCGTCAATGCTGTACGGGACTGCGGCTTGTTTTACCGGTTGGCCAGCATCGAGAGATGCAATTACCAAATGGAATATGGAGTCCATGGTTGCTGGATGAATGAGGTGAGGGGTCTCGTACCCTCCGGGCATTGTCGACTTGGTGTCTGGAACGGCCACCGACCCGTACGAGGCCTTTTGCGAGGGCACTGCTGTGAGGCACTTGACATTGCAAAAGGACGGCCCGTATTGCATGCCAATGGCCTCCAGATTCTTGTAGAATGCACCCACGTCGATAGTGATGGAATCTGCCTCGGATAGTAGCGCCCTGCGTGTGGCCAACTGTTGCTGCCACGAGGCATTCACCCCGTCTGGTTCGATATCACTGACTCCCTTCTGGTACACAACAGTAACAGTCCCGGCGCAGTGCTTCCCCCATGCCGAGCCGTTGGTCATTGAATAGACAGTGAAGGCCCATGAGCTGGGCCGTGTTCCGTCGGGGTAGAAGCTGAGGCGCGTCTCCACCGGGGCTTCTTCATCCAGGGAGATGACCAGACCGCGCTCAAAAGTGACGTCGTTCATGCGGAAACCTTCAATCGTCTTGGAAGAGTCGGCAATGCGCAATGCGCCTTCCAATGCCATCACCAGCATGCCCGCGCCCGGGTACAGCACAGTACCGGTAATGATGTGATCCTCAATCCACGGGTTCTCCGAGATGCGCAAGTAGTTCCTCCATCGTGGCTCGAGGCTGTTTTGGGAGTCCTCGGCCATTCCCAGATAGTCGGTGCGCGCATGTGGGGGAAACGATACGATCGAGACGTGTACGATTCGTGCCAGAACCTTTTTGCGTGGTTCCAAGGATAGCTGGGCAAGCTACAAAGCATTTGAGGGGGGTTACTTCCCGTTGATGTCTGCTGGTTGACTTCAGCCAGCTTGATCGGGCAGCCGGCCGCCCACAGCACACCCGCGGCGTTCAGAGCCGTCTCCGTTGCGTCCTGGCCGCGAACCAGCATGGAGACGTATGGGGCAGACTTGGCAAATCTGTTGTTACTTGCGTCGATAATCTGACGCACGGGCCCTTGAAGAGCAGCGTGGGGGCCAACCTCGAGGAAGCTGCCCCACTGTATTGGCACTGGTCGGCTACCCCTGCTGCAACTCTCTTATGCTTTAACAGTGCAATCAGTGCCTGTAAAAACCTGACGGGGTTCTGCATATTGTTGACCCAGTACTGAGCGTTAAGCTCCTTTGCTGAAGCAACGATAGATCCCGTAAGAGACGAGTACATGACGGGCGTCTCCCCTTCCACGTCGCCCTCCTTGGGTTTTAGTTCGCCAATCATGTCCAAGTAGGTTGACGAGACCTCACGCATGTGAGGGGAGTGGTATGCAGTGGTGACCTTGAGCTTGCGGGCGAATTTACCATCGCCCGATATCAGGGTTTCCAGCTGAGCAATGGCGTCAACATCGCCAGATAGCGTCACACTGGATGGGCTGTTGACGCAAGCAACTACGGCCGAGTCGGCGGGGACCTTCTCAAGGTATGCCTGCGCCTCATCCTCAGAAATACCAGCAGCCATCATTGCACCTGGCTTGGAGACTGCGGCGGAACTGACCCCTCGGACGTAGGCCAGCTTTACGGCGTCGTAGTGCGTAAGAAGAGTTGCAGCGTATGCAGCAGCAATCTCCCCGCTCGAGTGTCCGATTGTAGCTTTGGGCATGACCTCCCAGGAGCGAAGCAGGTCAACCAAGGCGACTTGAACCACCGTGCATAGTGGCTGGCTGTACTCCGGGCGGTTGACATTGGCATTTGTTTTCGTGCTCAATTCATCGATTGCGTTCCACGTGCAGCCCAGGTCCTCGAGATAACTTTGGGAGGCCTCGATGCTTGAGCGAAACGTCGAGTTTGCGAGCAGTTCGAGACCCATTGCTGGCCATTGAGCACCCTGACCGGTAAACACCATAACGAGGTTGCTGCCATGGCGTTGCGAGCGAGTCGATGCGACCAGGCCTTTGGATAGCTTTTCTATGAGCTCAGATGTCGAATTTGCAATCGCAAAAGTTCTGTTCTCCAGATGCGTGCGGTGATGCGCAAGTGTAAATGCGAGATTCTCCAACAAGGCTGGATCGTTTTTGTCCTCTGGATCTTGTTGCAGCCATGCATGGAGAGCCTCAGACACTCGCTTGGCTCCAGTCTGGCCCCTACCACTCAAGACGAATAGCTTCTTGCCTGGCTCGTCAGCTCCGTTGACTGATGTGTCCTCGAAGCCGGAGTCTGAGCCAAAGTCACCGATGACAGTGTTGTGGCTGCCCTCCAGTCCCCTGTCATGGAGATAATGGTACGCATCGTCCAGGATAACGTGAGCGTTTGCTCCACCAAACCCAAAGGAGTTGACACTGATTCGACGCAGCCCTGGCGTGGGCCATCTGGCGACTTCGTCTGGGAGCGTAAGATGCCAGTCAGCCAACTTGAGTTTTGGGTTGATGCGCTCCACGCCGAATGTGGGGACCAGCATTCCTTTTTCCAGTAGTAGTATGGATTTGAAAACGCCAGCCAGGCCAGCACATCCCTCTGTGTGGCCCACCGTGGGTTTGATGCTTCCAATGTGGAGAGGGGCTTTCCAGCTGCGCGTCGCGCTGCACCCAGGGTCGACGCAATTGCAGTAAGCTCGAGAGGGTCACCAATGGGCGTTCCTGTCCCATGGCACTCGAAGTACCCTGTTTGCGACAGATCCAGGCCGGCGTCCTCGTAGGTCTGGATAATGAGTTCGGCTTGCGCTGTGGAGCTCGGTTGAGTGACGCTGGGGGTCTTGCCATCCGCGTTGACTCCAGATCCACGAATCACTGCGCGGATCGTATCGCCGTCGCGTAGAGCGTCTGAGAGACGCTTGACGACCATAGCTCCAATGCCGTCACCACGGCCATATCCATTGGCCCGGTCATCGAAGGTATGTGAGATGCCTTCAGGGCTGAGCATGTGCATTGCAGTCAGCTGATGTGAGGTATTGGGGTTGATGAGAAGGTTGACCCCCGTAATGAGTGACTAGACAAGCCAAGTAATAAGTTACCATGTCAAGATGCAACCGGCTGTGGTGTCTTAGCATACCATGTTTGTTTCTCTCAGCCTCAAGGACTGACACGCCAAGTGCAGCGCGTAGAGTGAAGAGCTACAAGCAGTATCGAGCGTCAAGCTGGGGCCTTTAAGGCCAAAGAACCAAGACACGCGATTCGCGGTCATGGCTTCGCTTAGTCCGGTTGCTGCTGGATGGCCGATATCGTAGATGTCATGCAACGAGATCATTTCGTAGTCGTTTGTCATGCAACCGACGTAGCAACCCGTACGGCTGTTTATCAGGTGCTCCATGGGTATCCCAGCTACACGCCAATTAGCAGCAGTTTGGGACTAACAGAGATGCACGGAAATCGCACTGACCATTTTCAAAGCTCTCATAAGATACTTCCAGCAGCATTCTCTTCATGGGGTCCATAGAAGCAGCTTCCTTTTCCGTTACAGAGAAAAAAGGAGCGTCAAAGTGGCCAATGTCCTGCTCCAGAAAGTAACCATGCTGTGGGAGAATGCCGCCCTTTCGGTCTGGATCGGGATGATGCCACATGTTGCTATCCCACCTATCGCCGGGGACTGCACCATGGCCAGTCTTGACCTTGCTGATCATATCCCATAGTGAGTCTAGAGAGGATGCTCCACCAGCGAAGCGACATGCGGCTCCAATAATGGCGATGGGTTCCTGCTTGTCTGACGGGGAAAAGTCCATGACGAAGGGTCAGTGGCTGCGACAGGGTGTAGATTTGGCACTGGATGAATAACGGTCACACTGTGGCCACGAGTAGGACACAGGATGAGAAAAACACGCACGGACATGTAGGCTGACCGCACACGACCTTATCAGCAGTTCAGTTAGAGGTCGCTGCAGTGATTTTGCATGGCCCCTGTGTCTTAAATACAAACCCACTTTGCCCACAGCGTTCAACACGTTGCACAGCTTATACTACAGCTCCGGTGGATTCATTGCGTGTGCGATAGAGACATATGGAGCGAGGATATACTGGATCGCCCTGGCTCTGAAGGGCATAGCGTGGCAGCGACTGTCTGTTCTGGTTGGGGCCGCCCACGACGGAGACTCGATTCGGGCGCGGCGCGCTGCATTGGGCGATGGCCCGGTGCGCTCGAAGCATTTCCTCACAAATAAGCGAAGCACGGAATCAGCGCTGAGAATACTTGTTGCCCTCAATTACCAAGTGCGTGACTGAACCCAACCATGAGGATCCTCTGTCTGCATGGCGCTGGCAGTTCCGGCGCCATTCTCGAACGGCAAATGTCCAACCTGCGGCGCGAGCTCGATCCCAGTTTCGAACTCATCTTTGTAGACGGGCCCTTTGAGTGTGCAAGAGGACCCGGTACGTGAGCCGTGAGGCGGAGACACCGTTGTGGTTTGTCGCTAACATATTGGGCTCCAGGCGTCTCAGAATTCCAGCCGGGTCCATACTATTCTCACACTCAAGGCTACTCTCCTTCCGACATCGCTCAGGCGGTCCGTTACCTCGAAGACACCCTTGAAGATGAAGGCCCCTTTGAAGGGATCTTTGGCTTCAGTCAAGGCTCAGCGCTCACCTTGTCCTACTTCCATCAGCAGCAGACGGTCGGCAGCCCGATCGCAGTCAAGTTTGCTTGTCTTTTCTCCACCGCCATGCCATGCAGCTCGGATGCGAACATGGGCCGCGGCATCATATCGAAGCTGCGAGCAAGGGGATACGACGTGACGAACAGAGCCGGGCCCATAGGGAAAGACCTGACGAGCGAAGAGCGAGAATTTGTCGAGATACTTCAACGAACAGTCGTCGAAGCCGGCGCGAAAGACCCCCAATTTCCGTGGACTGATATGGATATATATCGCTACGGAGAGTTGGACGAGATTCCTCGCGTGATGTATTCATCGGCGCTGACACAAAAGATACAAGTTCCAACCATCCATGTTTGGGGCCAAAATGACTTTGAGTACTTGATCCAAATGGCGCAGCTTTCCAGGACTCTTTGCGAGCAGTCTGTTTCCAAAACAGTTGTACATAGCGGGCTACACGACATGCCAAAGAAACAGAGTGAGATCATAGCTGTACTTCGAGAAATCAACTGGGCTTTAGCGCGGGCATAGAGAAGGGGATAGACTACATATATATATGTTGCGTCACTTCTCGCCTGCACAGCGATGTTCTATGATTGTTGTAAACCTCTGTTTCAGTCATAATGGTAGTTATGAGCCATGATAACCTACACCAGGCCAATGGTCGCTTGTGACTTGCTGAGCTCTTGCCCGACGCCGAGTTGGGAGGATCTGGCGGGCTCTCCACATTTGGCAAATCACCGTACGACCGTTGATATAGATTACAAGCCCGGGCGCCGTATTTGAGGGATACCCTAGTCCAAGTTAACTACCAAGACGACGATGAGAGCTGCACGAGTCCGACCCACCTCACCCGAGGGAGTCCCATATGGGTTTCCCGGGAATATTGCCCCATCCTCGGCCATCGAAGTCCACGACAACATCCCCAAAGCCCAGATAACGAAACCGGGCGAATTGTTGATCCAAGTCAAGGCCTCCACTGTGTACAAAGATAATCTCGAGTGGAACGAGCTTTACCCGCCGAACCATGCAACATTGGGGAATGACTTCTCCGGGATTGTCGTCGCTGTGCACGAGGGCGAAACGACTTTTCGCGTCGGAGATCATGTATACGGCATGACGCATGCCGGAAGGGGAGGAACATGGGCAGAGTACGCCATTGTCACGACCGAGGAAGCAGTCAAGAAGCCAGATAACCTGTCGTGGGAGGAGGCTGCTGCCATCCCCGGAAGTGCCCTCACTGCTGATCAGGCACTGTTCAAGCATGTTGGCCTCGAGACTACAGCAAAGAACGGACAAAAGCGTGTTTTAATTACCGGAGCAGCGGGCGGCATTGGCACGTTTCTAGTGCAGTTTGCCGTACTTGCTGGCCACCACGTTGTCGCCGCTTCCAGCTCGAATCAGCGGAACAAGGTCTTCCTACAGAGCCTCGGAGCTCATGAAGTGGTCGAGTACGGTGATCTCACCACTCTAGACAGAGTCGACGTGGTAGTTGACTCGGTCGGAGCCCAGGTTCTCGCAGACTGCTGGGCTGTCGTCAAGCCGGACGGTACCCTCTTGTCCTTTGACGCCTGCAGCTGGGGTTTTAGGGAAGAACACAACAAAAAGGGTATTAGTCAAGGAAAGGAGGGTGTTCGGGCACTGTACATGATTGCTGAGCCTTCAGCGGAGAGCATGGCGCGTATCACCGAACACGTCGCCAGGGGTAATATTAGGGGCCACGTATCCAAAGTGGTGTCTTTGAACGACGTGCGAGAAGCTTACGAATCCGCTCATTCCAGGGGAGCCGGGCATGGGAAGATTGTGGTGCTGATCTGAATGTACTTGGTCGTTGATTAAGGTGCCGGTTAGAGCGTATGTGCAAACACATAGTTCATTCGACACTCTCCACCGGCAAATGGCAAGAAGCTGCGAGTCTGATAAGTATAGAAAAGACGTATAATCTGAGACATCTGTATGAGGATGCGGCTTAGGGAGGTCAACATAATCTATAAAGCTATAGAGGCATACGCTACAGTGCGGGTAATTCCCAATCAGCCTCGTCTGCCCTGGCTACACCCATACGCTGGCTAAGGGTGACCCAGGCACCACAATAAAGCAAAAGTCGAAAGGCTTTGGGGTCTGCAGCCTCACCCCAGGCAATCCCCATGGCGTCCTGGATCGTGGTCCAGCTAACAAAACCCAGGCCCTCTACAGCGTCTCGTGTCAGCAGGGCCTTGAGCTTTCGATACAATGGCCCGTCCTTCCCCCATCGAGTGGGAGCCAGGAACGGGTGCTTTTTTCGCCGGTACAGTTCATCCGTTATATAAGGATGTACTGCCTCGCGGAGGATCCATTTTTCATTCAGAGATTGCAACGCAACGCTGGACTTGGTCCAGATCGGGCCCACTTCACCGGAGTCGCTTGCAGTTTCCGCCGTGTAGCGCAACTTGGCGCTTGGAGGCAATCGGTTGACATACTCAGTGAGGTGATGGTCGAGAAATGGCGTGCGCGCTTCGACACTGTGTGCCATCTCTGTGCGATCGCCCAGGCATGACAGCAAGACGTTGGCCAACGAGTTCTTGTTCCACATGTACATGGAAGTATGGAGGGGATGCCATCGGGTCCGCATCTTGGCTTGGACGGTTTTTGGATACGAGTTGAGAATGGTTCTGCGGCAATCGTCGCTGCCTTGTCGTGCTTGTATCCACGGCGCAAAAAGGGAGGCGCTGGGATGCCACGCGAGCAGATTATCGCTCATGTCTGCTGCCCCCGGCCCTGCGATGCTTGGAACGGCTGGTCTATTCTCGTACGCGGTGGCACCACCTTTTTGCCAAATGCCTTTCATCTCCCGCTGCGCCGATTCGAACATTTGGCTCCGAAGGCTACTGTTTTGAGAAAAATGAGAGTCCGGGAGGGCTTCATCGGCTTCGCGGAGGAACTCGCTGAAAAAGTATGGATAGCCCCCAAAGTGCTCGTCGGCGCCTTCGCCAGTCAGGACGACCTTGACGCCGTGTTCCTGCGGCAATGTGGACAGCGCAAATTTGGCCACAAAATTGAGGTCGAAGTGGTGGTGCTCACAATGGAAAACAGCGTCTTCGAAGTTCTCAGCCAGCGTCTCCTCGGTGATAGTTCTCTTGATGGTCTTGACTCCAAGCCATTCAGCGGTGCGCTCGGCAATCTCTGCTGGCTGTTAGTTTGTACAGCACAAGTACAGGATCACCAGCCACCAGGACTTACGCGACTCGTCGTAGCCCGAGATTTCCGGGAAAGCCACACTAAAGCAGGTCACACCAGTGGTGTGTTCGCTTCCAATCTTGGCATGTTCCTTCCGTGCAAGATCAGTGACGATCCCCGCGATGGCCGAAGAGTCGATCCCCCCGGAAAGGTAGATGCCAACAGGCACATCGGCACGCAGGCGGAGACGGACAGAATCGACAAGCCGCTCACGAACGCCAGCTACCATTTCGTCCATGGTGCGTATCTCAGGTTTTGTCTGCGGAAAGAGAGTGAGCTTTAGGTTCCGCGCACTGATGCTCCAGTGGACCAACCTTGTCTTCGTATTCAGCATCCCAATATTGGACCTGTCGCACGCCGCCATCTTCCGTCGTTTCAAGATAGTGTCCTGGTAGCACCTTTCGAACACCGCGGAACAGCGTTCGGTCGTCAAACATCCAACCTGCGTCGGCAATTGCGCAAACATCCCAGCGAGGACTCCAGCCGAAAGGTAAGAAAGCCTTGGCCTCGGACGCGATGAGGAGGCTGGACCCGAGTCGAGTATAGACCAGCGGCTTGATTCCATAACGGTCGCGTGCCGCAATCAATCGTCGAGAACCTGGGCGGTCATCATAGAGCACAAATGCAAATTCCCCTCGCAGATGGGCAAAGAACCCTGGGGCACCAAAGACTTGGTAAAGCGCCAGCACAAGTTCGCTGTCGCTGTCGCTCTGGAAGGCGTAATGGTGAACGGTTTCGCACTCATACCGTAATCGATCATAGTCGTAAATCTCGCCATTGACCACAACGTGAACGTGGCCGTCGCTGCTGTGGAGAGGTTGACGCCCAGCAGATGATAGATCGTTGATGGAGAGCCGACAGTGGCCCAGCCCGACCTTCTCGGTCTCATTTATCCAGACCCCGGAATCGTCAGGGCCGCGGTGGGCAATCACATCCAACGAGGCTTGAAGCTGCGTAGCAAGAGGATGTCCTTCCCTGTTGGTCGTGATGCGGGGCCTGGATTCCCCGTTGCTGGTAACACCTGCATGTTTCGCGTAGCCATTCCTAGCCGGTGCAAGCGAGAGACACGCAGAGATTCCACACATTATTGATGCTTCTTAAGATACCCTTGATAGTTGGAACCAGGTGCACGAAGACACTGACTTTAATAAGTTATACCAGCGGCACTGCTGGTGTCCACATGGTAGTGATGAAACTAACCGTCCGCGAGTTACGCGAGATCCAGCAACAGTAAAACAAACTAGGGAAGCAGCCGCTTACAATCTGGTCACAACCGGTTTGGCCATGCAGGATGGCCTGGCGGGCCTAAGCAAATCGGGGCCGCCGACGGGATCAGCCAAATCTGGCCATGGCGACTTAAGAAGCAACGCAGGCGCGAAACTGCGAATAGAGTATGTACAGGGTCGTCACTACAAACGGCATTCAACACAGTTCAGAACCAAGAAACATCTACACTGTTAATCTGGATGCATGCGCCTCGTTATTCCCGCGTAGAAATTCAAGGGCCTCACGACCAAGAACTCGGGATCGTACACGACTGTCTCCGGTGACGAGTCGTCAAATTCGTATCGGTAGACCAACTCGACCAGAACTATCTTGACCTGGGTCAGCGCCAAATTGAAGCCCACACAGCCGCGAGCCCCTGCTGCAAATGGAGTGTATGACCCTTGGCGAGCCATTTGCGTCGCAAGACCTTGCTGCGCCCACCGGTGCGGGTCAAAACGCTGCGGATTCTCCCAATGGGCTGGGTTCTTGTGTAAACTCGGAAAGCAGGCAATGACAATGGAACCCTTGGGGATCAGGTACCCACCGGGCAGGACCGCATCTTGTTTTGCGTTGCGTGCTGTCTGGAAGCTGGGGCTATGAAGACGCAGAACCTCTTTGACGAAGCAGTCGAGAAACTTCATCCCATGGATGTCATCGTAGGTCCATCGGCCATCGTTACTACTACGGTGGCTGCTGATCTCCTCGAAGAGTCGTTGCTGGTTACCAGGATACCGCACGACGGAATACAGAGCCCAGGAGAGCAGAGATGAACTGGTGGTGAACCCCGCACCACAGCTCACTACCACATTGCCGAGAACCAGCTCATACGGGAGCCCTTTGCCCTGCTTGTCGCGCGCACGGTACAAGAAGTCAGCCACGCAGGTAGCGCTCTGAATGGCAGTGGGCTCGGATAAACTGAGGGGAGGACCGTCCGCTTGCACGCTCGCCTTCATGGCCTCTTCGGTTGTATCCAGCACTTGCTGGCGGACACTTTTCAATTTGACGGTATCGCCAAAGGGAAGATATTTGATCCACTGCGGCCGCATGGACGATTTCTTCATCAGCGAGAGGTACTGGCCAAAGAGCCGAACGGGAAACGACGGCGGCGTCTTGGGCGACTCAAAATGCTTCAGGTCCTGATTGAGCATGACTCGCCAGACAATCTGAGCGGCGAGCTTGAACATGTACTGGTAGACATTGATTGCGAGATTCGCGTCGGCCAAGTGATCGAATGCCGGAAAGATGGATTGAGCCGCATCCTGAATCAGTGGCAAAAAGTGGGCGATAGCTCGTGGCGACATCGTGGGAGGCACAAATTTGTGGCTCGGCGCAAAAGCTGGAGATGCGCTGTCGCAAGTAAACAGGCAGTCCTGGTCCGCCATGTAGTGCAACGGGTGTGATGGGTCGGACGTGGTCTTGGTGAAGAGGTGATCCTCGCGCAGCACGTGGCGGGCAATGGCGGGGTCGTTTGTGTGGTAGATGGTGGTTCCCATATTGACCGTCTTGATCATTGGCCCGTAGAGCGAGAATAAGCGGTCGTAGTTTCCGAGAATGTCTGGATACAGCTCGTAGCGGTTGCCAACGAACGGGATAACGCGAGGCCCGGGAGGCTCGCGGATGGACTCATGCGCTGTCGCTCGCACTTCGACATTGTCTGTCGTCGTAGCCACGCTCTGGAGATCCGATAACGGGTTGCCATTTTCGTCGACAAGCCATAATGCTATCGCGAGTTAGCCAAGTCTGCAATGATCCCCTGAGAACGGGGGCAGTGCGCACTCTTTGCATCGGCAAATCCAAAAACTTCAGCCAAGGTCGCTCTGAGTTGCTCAATGCTGGGGAACTTGGAGACGTCGAGGGTGTGAGCATATGTATCGGTTTGTTGTCCGATGTGGAACTTTTGATACATGTTTCGCGACCACCCTGCACCGAATGTACGAGCAGAATCAGACGACAGTCAAGCAGTCTGGCAAGTTATATGCGCATGATGCTACGCTCCTGATTTTGGTAGCGCGGCCAGAGATTGTTTTCGGAAGCCCGTTGGCGGTTGTCCACGTTGGGTTTAGTGGAGAAATGTTTACTGGCAGTAATCATGATCTCCTTCTCCCAGAGAACGTTCTTTCCCTTGTTCCGACATTTCCTCTCTACTGGAACGCAGCAACCATCGCATCCATGACCGCCCATCCAGGCGAAAGCATCACAGTCGAGCAATTGGCGGACCACACTACCCTACAGTCGTTATGGATCGCGGTTCACGGTGTTGGTAGTTCACCAGCGTTATCCTGTCAAATAATCATGCTTTAAAGCTGACCAGCGCCCTAGTATACGACTTGACAGCCTTCAGCTCCGACCACCCTGGCGGCATTGAGGCACTCGAAAACTGCGCAGGAACTGACGGTACCGAGGCGTTCGAGTATGCCGGCCACAGCGAAGGAAATATCGCCAATATGCAACAGTACCGCGTCGGCAGGCTTGTCGGAAGCCGTGGACGAGCTGGTGCAAGTTCGCACCATCCTCGAAATGCAACTAGGAAGCAAAATCGGAGTGGTGCACTCGGTATCAACTGGCCCATTGTCTATCCATGGGCGAAACCGGCAGTGACGCTATTGACTGCGTACGGTGCAATGGTTCTTTCATACCGCCACCTTCTCCCAAGATTTGGAAACTTTCAGGATATACTCCCAATGAACGCCGACCTACAACCTGGACATGGAGTCTTGGCAGGGATTGCAATTGCTTCATCACTCAGCTTCCTTGGTTTTAGATACCTTGATGGGCTATTTCTGTCGTCTTTTGACTATCAGAATGATGTATTTAGTTTTCCACCCACCATACCAAGAAAGACCCGAAGATAGATGAGACTGTGTTACGTTGGGCCTTCTAGGTTCTGTCGCCCAAAGGCCTGCAACTGTTCTTCCCAACATTCTGACGAGGCTATCTTACCAATGCCTGATGGATTGTCGTCATCTCGTGGTTCTCTTGTCGCCCAACGGTATACTAAGATACTATAACGCACTGACTATGCAAAGAAATATCATTTAATGCCACATAAATGATTCAGAGGTTTGATTCAGCAAACTACCACCACTCTAAATTCTTCGAACCCCCCAATTCTACTCCACGACTTGATCAACCAAACGCCACAACCAGTTGGTCATTTGTTCCTCTTCTCCAAACAAAGGTACAATGGGCCAGCCTGCATTGCAAAATGCTCATACATGCCTTGTTCAAAACCAGCTACCGGGTCAGTTTTGCTAGGGGCAAATTTCAGATTGTAGTGCATGACCAGCCTCGAGATTGTGACCCGAATATTGGTCAACGCAAGATGCTTTCCGGCGCAATTCATGGGACCCAGGGAGAATGGCGCTATTGCGTTCTTGTCCCTGACCAATTCCGGGAGACTGTACCACCGTTCAGGGATAAACTCATTCGCTCGCGGGAATATGAGTTCGTCTGTTCCTGGGTCAGTGGAGAGTGGACAAACTTATGCACGGGTCTGTAGCAACTACTTACCTCGCCCGATGACGTATTGGGGCGCGATCAGTTGTGTTCCGCCAGGGATAAATCGGCCAGCGATTATGGTGCCCTCTGGTGGGGACAGCCGTGTCGGGTGACTGGGGCTTGGTGGCCACATGCGCAGTGCCTCCTGAACAACTCCATTCAGCAAGTTAAGGTTCCTGATTTGATCATCCATCACAAGCTCGTCCGGAGACTCCGGAATATACGGCCTCAACTCCTCGCGCAGCCTGTCCGCAAGCTCCGGCCGTTGAGCAAGAATCCACAGGATGCAAGACATGGTGATTCTGGTGGTATCGCTAGGCGGGGAGTCAGTCAATCACTCTGTGCTCAATCACGGGTTGCCCATGAGTATCGTACCTTCCAGCGTTAATAAGCAGATGAGATTCTCCAGCCAGAAGGTTTATGGCAGCCTCATCGAATACTTTCTCGTTCCTCCGGTACGGGGCAAACAGTGCACTCATAACGTCTGGGATCTTAGGCTCGTACTGTGTAGATATGGTGAGCGGTAACCCTGATCACAAGCAAGTGGATGGGGTCGAACCTCCCATCTCCTACGCATTTCTTCGGTGCAGTACTTCAACATGACCTTCAAGTCCTTATTGCCACCGGGGAGCGCACGCAGAATGTGGAAAAACCACATTGGCAGATGAATGCCAATAACGCTCATTCCGTTGTCCAGGATATCCATTGCCCAGTGTTTGTCCTTGGTGTCTAGCATGCCGAAGGGGTGGCCGAAAGACAAATCGCTCAAAACATCCCACGAATACAACCCTAACCAATGGTTCACATTCACCGGCTGCCCAGCATGAGCATCGAGCTCATGCATGAGTTTGGCCCGATAAGGATGAATTCTTGTCTCGTAGCTCCTGACAGCTTTTGTAGAGAATGCTTGACTCCAGACCGAACGCAGTTCGGCATGCCCGGCAAAGGTCCGGCGGAGAAGGACCGAGTCTTGTGGGCGAGTAAGGTCGTACCAGGGGCCTTTTTGACACACCGAATCGGCTCCGAAGATCTGCTGCACCGCCTTGGGGTGGGTGATTGACAGTTCTTGGGTGCCAATGCGCACAAAGTAACCATACTTTTCGTGCAGCTTGTGTAAAGTATTATACATTTGCATCCGTCTGATGGAGAACGTCATGTAGAAGCTGCTGATTCGTGCGATCCATGGTCCAGGGAAGACGTTGAGCGGGTGTCGGAAAGCACGGTAAAAGAAAAGACTCGCATACAAGCCCAATAGAAAGAGACCATCGTACAGGCATGATCGTTTCAGAGCCTCTTCCAAGGCAAAGCCAAGTCGATACTGCAAAGCCGCCAAGGCTGCAAAGGCGACTGCGTGTATTTGGATGTAGGTCATGCCATGCAAGTGATGTTCGCCACGGTTAAAGTACCCCACGTAGCAGATGGCTCCAGCGGCCAAGGCGAGCGCTTCTAACGCGAATTGCATCTTGTGCGAATGGATGATGCCAGAGTGGAGGAGCAGTGACTGTAGAAAACTCAGAGATCTAGAAGTCGCATGCGCACAAGCCTTAATTGCGCGAAATGGCAGGTTGGTATAGCCTTGCTATCCTCTCTGGTTTTACTATACGGCGGCCACCGCCCAATTTGGAAAGGGCCGCGCTCAACTCAGTCACCCGCTGCCCCCTCTTGCACCATTTTCGTCACAAACGCCACGAGTATACTCTGTGTAAGCGTGTTATAGTGTGAAGTCTAAACGCGTTATACTTCCTTGACACCCGGTTCGATCCTGAGACTGCAAAGCACATAAACATAAAGGAACAAATTGAGAAGGCATCTGTGCCAAACCCGGAGGAGTACATCTCTATAGACGAGGTTTTGGCTACAGCGGAAATCAAAAACTCTGTGACTGGCGAAACAACATCCGTGTTTGACCCTCCCTACGCCAGGGTGCTGTTTGCAAGGGCAATTAACAGGCACAATCCTGAGCTTAAATTACCTGTGCATGAGCCCGCCGGCGATTGGGTAGTGACCTACAAGCTGGATAAAACCCTTACAAAGCGGGCTGATAAGTGCCATTCTCAATCGGGTGTTTGACGAGTTAAAAGTCCTGTAGATCAGCCTGCAGCAGCGTGCAAGATGCAAAGCGTCATCCAGGTCATCCAGCAGTTCCAAGATATAGACGAGAGTAGATAACACATTATAGCTCTGACAGGGCGCTACAGAAGGTGCAGCGGCCTCGAGCGGCCGTTATGAAAGAATGGAAACTAGATGATGCACATCCCCCGCCGTTTGGGAAAGCAACCTTCCATAACCGGTTGATTCAAGCTTTCAAAATACGGGAATAGTGGAACCAAAGGTTTCCACCCCACATGTGACTCGGCCACAGCCGAGGCAATTTCCCTGGAATTATTTTCACAGCCGCTCCTATTGGCTCCTTCAACTTATACTGCACTAAGCTTACTGCCAATGAGAACGGAAAAATCGCAATCATTTCAATATTTGGGAACTATGACTATTAGGCTTTTTTAAGAAACCTGTACGGGCCGAAGGAAGGCATAAACTCCATGGTTGGGATAAACCTTGAGAGTAAAACCTTCTTTAATAACCCAATAATACCTGAAACAATGAAGGAGTTAAATGATAATAGACTGTTATTTCACATCTAGCCAGTTATATTTATCCATATATCATACCATCACTAGTCATGCATCCTCATCACTGCTTTACTAATAATAATAGTAATGCTAAGTCCATGTAAATTAGAGTTGCATAACCGAACCGCAAAAATCGAACCCGAACCTCACCGAACTCGCAGCGGTTTGGGTTCGGTTCCTAGCCTAGGGAATCGCACCGGGTAATACGATTATTTTCGGTGGACATGATGCGCGTGGCGTCGTCTCTGAACACGAGCAGACAGTAGAGTCTCTCGTATTGAACTCTTGGCTGTCGATTTCTCGCTCACCAGACGGATACTCGCAATATCTTCTGCTGAGAGCCCCATCCGTCTTATTCACCTTGGCTTCGCGGATGTATTGTGCATCCATTCTTATCCAATCATATATTACTCCGCAATGTTATGCTAGCTCACGCGCATATGATTGGCTAATCCTAAAAAACACGTGCATTATTTCATCTTTTATGTTTTACCCAACTCTGCATTAATTTTCATTCACTTGTGTTCTTTGTCATTTCAAGGCTACAGCATGCGCAGCACGCGTCGCGTCAACAATTTAGAAAGGTCCATCAGATACTACTGGCACGTGGCCGACTGGTTCTGAGGAAGCATACGGGGTAGAGGAAGTGTGGTATTAGGGGGTACGAGACTCCGTCCCGTAGTTAGTTAAATAGCCTGATTGCTGACTAAGGGGGCAGAACTGGCCATCCCAAGGAGCTGGGCTTGGCTCAGTTCCAACCGCTTCTCGTAGTCCAGGCAAGATCCAATCCATGACAAAGGTTCCACGCCAGCCACGAGGCTCAATGTCCAAGATGAGTTCTTGGTATGGCCTACCACTTCCCCCGGAGGTCCTTTTGGAGTTGGCGGAATACCTTGATCCACGAGACCTTGTAGCTCTGGCACAGGCCACGGAGGGCTTTGCGTCATTAGTAGTCTTATCGCGGAGTGCTCGAGAGCTAGAAAGGGGACGAACCATTCTGTTTGCTGCAGCTGTCTGTGGTCATGTCAATCTTGTTCGCCATTTTCTGGATGGAGGGGCGGACCCATGTGCTGTCGATTATGACGGAAGCACAGCCTTACATCATGCATGTTGTTTTGGCCATGTAGCTGTCGTCAGGATGCTTCTTGCTGTTGGTGCGGATATAAACGCCCGCCATAAAAATGGGCTTACACCCCTGGACCTTGCCATCATTACCGGCCGTGATAATGTGGTCGAGGTGCTGATAAACAAGGGGGCCAACATTTTGGACACAAAGATCGGTAAATTAGAGCGGACAACGCTCCATGCCGCTGCCATCAAGGGGTACGCCCGCATCGCAAAGATTCTGGTCAACGGTGGCGCCTGTGTGCACACGGTGGATTCGTGCGGGCATACACCTCTTCATTTAGCAGCTTCGGAGGGCCACGTGGAGATCGTCCAAATGCTTCTGGATGGTGGGGCAAGTGGTTCCACGCCAGACCATGAAGGCGATAGCCCGTTGCACCTTGCTGTTGAAGAAGGGCACCTAGGAGTGGTCCAAAAGCTCCTCGGTGCGGGAGTTAGCCCAATGGCGCAAGGTCGTGATAGGGCTACACCATTGCACTGGGCAAGCCTTTTAGGTCGTGTCGAGATAATGCAGGTCCTATTAGACGCCGGTGCAAGTGTGGCTGCCCTAACCAGCGAAGACAAAACGCCTCTCTCTCAAAGTTGTGCTGCCGGTCATTATGAGGCTGTGCGGCTGCTTCTTGAGACAGGAAGTGATCCTTCAATCTCTGACAGCAACGGCGACACTCCATTACACCTGGCTGTTTGTTCGGATAATGCGGCTGTGGTCTCTCTTCTTCTAAGCTCCGGAGCTCCTGTCGATGCAAGAAATTTGAAGAATCAGACCCCGTTACACTGGGCTGCTAAAGAGCATGAAGAGTCGGTCCTGCCCTTGCTCAATCACGGAGCTGACGTCAATGCTATGACACATAGTGGATGGACACCACTCCATTGGGCAGCTAAAGATGGCCATGTTGGTATCGCTCAAAAATTGTTAGAACATGGCGCTTCCGTTAACACTCAAAATGAGCATGGGGAATCGGCACTGCACTTCGCCGCTCAAAGAGGGCATGGGAACATGGTTCGGTTACTGGTGGATTCGGGGGTGGGGTGAACCTGGTCGAGCGCGGCGGGAGAGCAGCCCTACACTTTGCTGCAATGAACGGGGAGGAAGAGATAACCCGGATTCTCCTGGAATCCGGCGGCAAGGTCAATATCAGAGACGGGGAGAACTATTCGCCACTTGCCTATGCAATTGCTGAGGGATGTCCAGAGGTGTCCGAAGTGCTCCTTCAAGCAGGTTCGACCCTGGATGAGAGCTGTAACGAGGCATTTCTAAGCCTAGTGGAAATGGGCTGCGAATGCACAATGCCCTCACTCATTGATCGTGGTATAGACGTCCTTTGGAAAGACGAAAGTGGGTCCACATCATTGCACAAGGCGATTCTTACTGGTGAAGTTAGCGTTATTCAACTTCTACTAGATGCAGGAGCCGACATTTCTGCTCGGGATAACGTGGGCAAAACTGCCCTGCACATTGCCGCTGCCGAAGGGGAGGATCTCCTTGTGGAGACTCTACTTGCTGCTGGTGCCTCAAGTTCGACACAGGACCATGACGGCTGGACGGCCTTGCACTGGGCAATCGCTAATGAGCATGAGGCAGTTGTTCGAACTCTAACTGCACCCAGCGTTTATCAATGTGTCAATCGACTTAGTGTCCAGGCCCTACTGGATCTTGCTGAAGAGTGCGACAGCCCCGCGTCGATTGTGGATCTTCTCATGGAGGCATCGGATAGAATAGAAGAGGGAGTGTCGGAGGTATAGCACTGGGAATCGGCAGGTCTTGCCTCAATGTGTCGACGAGTGACAGGGTGATAATAATTTGGAATACGTGGCACATAGGACCATCAGACATATTGAATCGCTTTTTTCGTCTTATTGTATTATATCTTCTAGGATTGAGGGTTACAATATCGAACATCTAGAAGAGAAATCTTTCAGCTTGTCCGGTCCGTTCATGAATTCAGTGGTTTGTAGAGCCAAAGGGCAAGCAGTGTTCGTCTCCTCCAAAACGTCTTTGTGTCCTCTTGGTACCCTGACTTGTTTGTTCTAACAAAAGCACGGGTGGAGAAGCTGCTGCATAATCAACCGAAGAAAGCAGCATCAGTTGAAAACTTGAATGAGACAAGGTATGACCTCTTGGGTATAGGCCAGGCCCTTGACACAATGAATGGCAATGTATCCCAATAGAAAAAGGTACGTACTTCTGGACAGATTTTAGAGCTGTGTAAAAATAGTAAATGAAAGTAAACGAACATTAAAACAAAAGCAGAGGTATTATTGGGTTGATCTAATTTCAAATGCCATACTACTAGGTATGCAAGCCACCGTAATTTTCATTCATCCGCTGGACGCACGAGTATTTCTCAACTGGCCGAGTAACTTGATTCAGAACATAGATCAAAGATCCAATATAAAAGATAAGCGAATGACCTGATATTGAGTCTCAGAAATGATAATAAACTAGTTTGTTGGCACTATCCTACAGCATGATGGCCGCAAGACAACAACTCCGCAGACTAATCCTACCAACCCACTTCCACCGTGCCATCCTGCCTCAAGCCCGCCATTTAACTACAGCACAGACAAACGGCCATCGATTCGACCAAGAAACCGACGTCCTAATCGTCGGCAGCGGCGCCGCAGGCCTCACCGCCGCTCTACGCGCCCACTCCCACGGGCTCTCATCCCTAGTCATCGAGAAAGATGCCCAAATAGGCGGCACCTCGGCCTACTCCGGCGGCGGCCTCTGGATCCCTAATAACCCGCTCGCCGTGGAGGCCGGCATAACCGACACCCCAGAGCAGGCAATGACCTACCTGACATCTGTCATCGACGCTGACACCCCCGACGACACCGACGTCCGCCGCGCCTCATCCCCCGCCCGCAAACGCGCCTTTCTCACCCACGGCCCCCGCATGGTCTCCTTCCTCCGGGACCGGGGATTCGCCTGGCGCCTCAGCCCAGGCTGTCCAGATTACTATCCGCACGCGCACGGTGCACTACCGACCGGCGGGCGCTCCATCGAGCCGGACGTGTTCGATGCGCGGCGACTCGAACTCGGCGAGAAATGGACGGAGGCGATCCGGCAGCGGCCTGGCCGGTCGCTCCCGCTGTTCACGTACGAAGCCAGCAGCGCGACGCGCATGGGGTCGTCGTGGCGGGATGTCGGGGCCGTGCTGCGCGTGCTCCTCCGCAGCATATATCTTTCCCGTGTACGGGGACAGATCCCGGTGACGATGGGCAAGTCGCTGGTTGCGCAGCTGTTGTGGTTGCATACGCAGCTTGGCCAGGGCCCGGTGCTCACGGATACGGCGCTGCGCCAGCTCATCGCTA